TAATCAACTCTTCAGATACAGCCCCAGCTGATGCCTTTTCTGCAACCTCATCAGAGAGAAGCCGAGTCTGAGCCACTCAGGGAAACCACTCCCAGATTCCTGGGAGATCAGAATTTGAAACCCTGCAGGTATCCTGCTAATCACTTCTAGATCATCTCATCTAGAAGACAATAAAGATTCTAGCAGTGATATGAAAGATAGATTGAAGAAAGGCAGACAGAGAGCCTGATAAGGCTGTTGCAAGGGCTCTGAGGAGAGATGATGAGGGCATGAGGTAAAATCTCAAGCTTGTGCTCTGCTCTCTGTAGCTTTGAGTCAGCTGCTGAACCTCTTGGAGCGTTAGGATCTTCCATAAAATGAAGATGGCAATGGTGCTTACCTTACTAAGTTGTATTAGAGCATCAGGTCTGAGACGTAATTGGCCCTTGACATGAGGAAACTTAGAAGGTATTTGTTTAATAAATGTAAAGACAGGTCCACTCCAAGAAGCTTTTATTAAGTGCTTAAATAGACTTCGAGGTATGCAACTGGTATCTCAGTTAACAAGCTAAGCAAGTAATTAACTGAACAAGTGAAAACAATTAAGTGCAAAATTCACTGTAACGAGAAGTGGAGGACGCTAATTTTTAGCCCGAGTAAAGAAACTAATGAAATATTTTTCTATATTTAATAATTTTCTGATAATGAGTCTATTTTATGAAATTCAGACAAAATTTCTACAGATTAAACCAAGAGATAAAGCAAAACATTAGAAACCACGAGCCTGGCCCCCAGGAACTAGTCCTTCCCCTCCACGGCGCCGCCCTCCGCCATAGTCACGCCCCCTTCGACTTCGCGCTGCCCTCACTGCGGGGCTCCCCGCGACCATTTCCCATCAGAGGCTCATTCGTTCGCGAGACTTCCTCCATCTAGACCACTCAGAAGCCGTAGGAAACGCAGGCAGAGAAGAGTCGCGAGACTTGACGCGACCACACTTTCAGGCCCCGCCCCTCCTTCCGGGGCGAGCGCCTCCCAGCGCAGCGTCCCGGGTTGCACGTGTAGTTGTTGTGGTTCAGTCTCACGTGGTCGCGGAAGCGCAGGCGTCTGCAAGATGGCGGCGACCAGTGCCGGGAGACGCCAGCCGCCTCTGCTCAGCCTTGAATGATCTCTCTGACTGTGTCTGTGGGGCCATGGACCGGCCCGGGTTCACAGCCTCGCTGGTGGTGAGTACGGGGTGGCAGGATGGGGCGCTCAGAGCGCCGGGGTGCCGCACTGGAGCCCCTGGTGGCTTTTCTGCCCTAGCTCATTTTCCCGGTTTTGCGTGCTGAATCGTCCCGGGGCACCGGTCACCGGGGCTGGAGGGAAGCGCCGGGCCTGGTATCGAGGCCCCGGATTCCCTCCTCGTATTTCAGAAGGACGGAGGTGGGAAAGGGTTGGGGTACTTGGCTCGTCTAACGCGCGACGGCATACCTAAAGCGAAAAGAAAATCTTCAATTATAGTATAAACCACAGGCTGCAGAACTTGGTAGTTAACGAAATATATGTAACAAAACAAAGCTCACTCAAGACACTCACAGACCTGTTCGAGACTATGGTTTCATTTTGCTTTTTTTTTTTTAGTCTCGGAAAACGACGTATTTATTTATTCAGTATATAATTAATGTTTATTCTGGTCCCAGGCATTCTTTGAGCCTTTGGGTATACGGATGAGCAGAAACAGCTGCTCTCT